CAAGGTGCCCCTACACTGTTTTATCTTTATATTGTTTCTTACTTACCTGTGCTTTATCTAATCCTGTGTGTTTTTTAAAAGATTTTGTTTGTTTGTTTACTATTTTAGGGAGAGAGAGAGCACAAGCTGGGGAGAAGGATGAAGGGAGAGAGGAAATCTTAAGCAGGCTTCATACTCAGCGCGAATGGATGCAGGTTGAGCCCATGACCCTGGAATCATGACCTGAGCCGAAGTCAAGAGTCAGTTGCTCAACCGACTGAGTGATGCAGACACCCCAATCCTGTGTTGTTTTAACATGAAAACCACTGTCTGTCCTTCCACACGGAGCCAGTAGATACATATTAACTGGAACCCACCCGAGGCTTTAGGCATGTTCAATGTATCACAGAATTTAATAAAAAATTCTTGAAAGGTAATCTTGCCATTTTCTGTAATGCAAAGTAAAATGTAGCTGAAGGAATTACTGCTTCTGAATTAATCTGTCAGCAGTTAATAGTCAAGTTATAACAAAGGTGAAAACCCTGGGGGTCAGCCTGTACTGTTCCTTCTTCCTTAACTTCTGCATACATATGATTATCAATTTCTATTCAATTATTTCCAAATACTTCTTGAGTATATCACTATATTAGTTAATGCCTATGCTATTACAATAGCATTGCTAAAAATCTATCGCATCAGCCTCATTTCTCTCCATTTATTTTAAACAATGCAGCAAGAGAGGTCTTTCTCTTTAAAAAAAAAAATCTGGTTACTCCTCTGAATAAAACCCTTCAGTAGCTCCTACTTGTCCAAAAACTACAAAAGCAAAACAAAACAAACACATGGTGGGCAGGCAAAGAGGCTATAGGCCAATATTCCTTATAAATGTGTTAACATCTAAGTGAAATTATAGAAAATAGGGTTTAGCAGTATAAGCAGAAACTAAAGTTCTAGATACCTTTAGGACATGCATTTTCACTGAGGGTGATAGGCTTTCAGGAAGGAAAACAGGTTCTTGGAGGGGAAAAAAATCTTACCCATTACAATGGTTTGTGGCCACGGTACATAAGCAAATATTTATTTTTGGCATTAAACATTCATAGCGTGTGGGATGGTGAAAAAGACAAAAACGTCTAAAAAGTCTCCTCAGGGGAGTGATATTTTTTTTTAAAGGTTAAGAAACACTACTTTTAGGATAATGGTAACCACCTAAATTTACTCTGGAGAAATCTAAGAAAAAGGCTTAGAAATCCATAGGACCAAAGATGGCATCTTGATGTGGAACTCAGTGCATAGGATTTGGTGATGAAGGAAAAGAAAGAAGCAGTTAAAGATGAAGTCCCTACCAAACAGTATCAAAATGTCAGAAGGCTCACTACCCCCACCTCCCACCCTCTGCCCCAAAGGTGCCATTAAAGTAAATGGACTTCATTTACTTCAGTAGAAACTGAAGACAGAGCTCCAAACTGAATGTGCCACCCAACACCCTCAACTCTTTCAACAAATCAGGATAGAAATGGGCAAAGGAAGATTTGAGATGGGGGCCAACAACTCAGAAAATAGATTGTGTAGAAAGACCAAGCCAGCTCCAAAATAAAGACTCAAGTAAAGTAAAGGTACACAAGATGGAATGGATATGACAAACTATAGTAAGGGACATAAAGGATAGACATGAAAAGAACCAAAAGGAAAAAAAAAAAAAAAAAAAAAGGGGGGGGGAAAGAAAAAAGAAAGAAAAAAAAAAAAAACCAATGCAAAAAAAAAAAACAAAGTAGAAAAGTTTACAGCAGAAGTGACAGAGCCCAGAAATAAACCCCACATATGCTCAACTAATATTTGACAAGGCAGCCAAGAACATTCAATGGAGAAAGGATGGTCTCTTCAACAAATGGTGTTGGGAAACTGAATAACCACTTGGGATACTCCCCAAAATTACCTCAAAATAAATTAAAGATTTAATTGTAAGATCTGATACTGTAAAGAAAACATAAGGAAACAGCTTTCAGACATTGGTCTTGGCAATGATTTTTTGGACATGACACCAAAAGCACAAACAACAAAAGCAGAAATCAACAAGTAGAACTAGATCCAATTGAAGATTTTTCTTTTTTTTATTGTTTATTATATGTTTATATATATACATATATATATATATATATATATAAACATATAAAATTTATATGTTTATTTATTTGTGAGAGAGAAAGACACAGAGCATGAGCAGGGGAGGGGCAGAGAGAAAGGGAGACACAGAAACTGAAGCAAGCTCCAAGCTGTCAGCACAGAGCCTGACGTGGTGCTTGAACTCAAGAATCATGAGATCGAGACCTGAAGTCGAATGCTTAACTGGCTGTAGTCGGACGCTTAACCAACGGAGCCACCCAGGCACCCCAGAACTACATTCAACTTAAAAACTTCTGTACAGCAAAAGAAACAATCGGCAAAATGAAAGGGCAACCTACAGAATGAGAGAAAATATTTGCAAACCATGTATCTGATAAAGGATTATTATCCAAAATATATAAGAATTCACACAGCTCAATAACAAACAAGCAAATGAACTATTTTAAAAAGGGCAGAGTAATAGAATAGGCATTTTCCCAAAGAAGACATCCAAACGACCAACAGGTGCATGAAAAGGTGTTCAACATCACTAACCATCAGGGAAATGCAAATCATAACCACAATGAGATATTGCTCAAACCTGTTAGAATGGCTATCACCAAGAAGACAGGAGATACGGATTTGTGATGATGTGGAGAAAGGGAACCCTCATACACTGTTGGTGGCAATGTAAATTGGTGCAGCCACTATGGACAACAGTATAGAGATTCCCCTCAAAATTAAAAATAGAACTACAATATGAACATCAATTCCCCTTATGAGTGTATATTCAAAGGAAACGAAAACAGGATCTCGAAGACATACTCCTGTGTCTATTGCAGCATTATTCACAATAGCTAAAATATGGAAACAATCTAAGTGCTCATCAACAGATGAATAAACAGAGGTAGTGTGAAAATATACAACAGAATATTTTTCAGCCATGAGAAAGAGAGAAATCCTGTCATTTGCAACAAGATGGTAGGATCTTGAAGTCCTTATGCTTAGAGGAGATAAGCCAAAGACAAATGTTGTATATATCACTAATATGTGGAATCTAAAAAAGCCAATCTCATAGAAAGAGAGTAGAATGGTGGTTACCAAGGACTTAGGGGGTGGGGTGAATTGGGGAGATACTGTTAAAAAGTACAAATTTGCAGTTAAAATGAATAAATTCTGGAAATCTAATGCTGTGCTGATCTAATACTGTATTACATAATTGAAAGTTGCTAAGAGACTAGATCTTAAATGTTCTCACCACAAAAAAAGAAATTGTGATAATTACGTGATGTGATAGAGGTGTTAGATAACATTACAGTGATAATTATATTGCAATATATAAATGTATCAAATCAGCACATTGTACACCCTAAACTTACATAATGTTATCATATGCCCATTATATCTCAATTTTACAAAAAGGAAAAGAAAAACTCTGTGGAGGTGGAGTGGGGGAAAAAAAAGCTCTAAGTCACTAATATTGAGGATGAAAATGAAGGTATCATTACAGATGAAGCAGAAATCAAAAAAGATAAAAAGCAGATGTCAAGGACAACTTTATCCAATACATTTGAAAAGTCAGATGAAATGGACAAATTCCTATAAAGACACAGCCTGCCAAAATTAACAGGAAAATAGAATATTTTCTTGGTAATACCATACAATTTAAGAAATTAAATCAATAATCCAGAATTTTTCCATAAATAAAACTCTAGGCCCATAAGGCTTCACCTGTGAGTTCTGCTTAACATTTGAGGAAGAAAAAATCTCTTACAGAGAATAGGAAAGTAAAGAATATTCCCCAACTCTTTTGAAAACGTAGCAAAAATGATATTCAACAATACCAGTCATTAAAATAACGCAGTTATTTTGTACATTTATAAACATCTGCTTCCCTGAGCCAATGCCACAGGCAACACCCCCTGAGGTATTCCTGGATATCAGTATAGTTTCCCTTCCAAAGGGTTAACACGTGGTGAAGGGCCTCACGGACTCTGTTGTACTCTGTGCATGGCATTCTGATTGAATACTGCCCATGCCAGTCAGTTCGCAAAGTGACCTCATCTCCCAAGTACCACCACCTACAGGGATAAAGTAGGCCCAGACTCACCCATCTGTTCAGTCTCACAGAGCTCAGGCTTGGCACACTGTGGTGGCACTGGTGCTCATCAGTCATCTCACTGCAGCCCCCCCCCCCCCCCAGGGTGCCCTCCATTGCTGTATACCCCATCCATACATCTCCCATCCCCACTGGTAGATGATGGCCTTTACAACTAGATGCATTCAGACTACTAACCGTGTTCAGGTCCATGTCTTAATACTTCATCAAGTAAAACATTAGCTGCATGAAAGTCATTGTTCATCAATAATGCCTTGAGGTCAGAGACATCAATTAGATCATTCTGGAGAATTTGAACAGTAACTAAGAGTAGCTGTGTAACTGAGAAAAAAAAAAAAGAGCAAAAACATGCTTCAACAGCAGAAATAAGAGTACATTGTTCACTTTCACTTAATGGGCTTGAGTTGCATAAAAGAATTTTACATGAAATTACTAGTAGTTTTAAAAACCATTGTGTAGGGGCGCCTGGGTGGCGCAGTCGGTTGAGCGTCCGACTTCAGCCAGGTCACGATCTCGCGGTCCGTGAGTTCGAGCCCCGCGTCAGGCTCGATGGCTCTGGGCTGATGGCTCAGAGCCTGGAGCCTGTTTCCGATTCTGTGTCTCCCTCTCTCTCTGCCCCTCCCCCGTTCATGCTCTGTCTCTCTCTGTCCCAAAAATAAAAATAAACGTTGAAAAAAAAAAAATAAAAAAAAAATAAAAACCATTGTGTATTATAACAGCTAGCAGTTACTGAACACTAAGTGCTGGAGACTCTTCTGAGTACTTCTACTTTACCTATTTAAGTCTATTATTACCTATAATAATTCCAAGATAGGCATTATTATCCCCATTTTTCAGATGAAGGAATTGAGGTTAGTGAGATTTAAAAATATTTTTTTTTTAATGTTTATTTATTTTTGAGAGAGAGAGACAGACAGACAGACAGACAGACCATGAGCAGGGAAGGGTCAGAGAGAGACAAAGATGCAGAATCTGAAGCAGGCTCCGGGTTCTGAGCTGTCAGCAGAGACTCCAACGTGGGGCTCAAACTCACTAACCACGAAATCATGACCTGAGCTGAAGTTGGGTGCTTAACCAACTGAGCCACCCAGGCGCCCCGAGGTTTGTGAGATTAAGTGATTTACTAAAGAACATACTGGTATTAAGTGGCAGGGCCAGGATTCAAATCCAGACACGATATTTCCAAAGCCCATGCTCTTAACTACTGTGCCTTTCAAGTAGACATATGTAACTGGTCAACCATTATGCCTACAGCTACATAATACTTCATATGTGGACCCTGAAATAATTGTGAAGCATTACAAAGAAGTTTACATCAAAACTTTATTGCCTTATTTCACTTAAAGTTATGTTACAGAGACAAAATAAGAAGAAGAAGAAGGTGCTGTTTCTGTAAGTCGTGCTCTTTATATTTATCTTATAGCCCCACAAATCTTGACAGCCTTGGTCACTTTCCAATGCCTTCAAACAGTTGTGGTTGTTGATGCTGTTTAATTTAGTCCACATTTTACTAGTTGTTCTCAGCAGGAGGGTTGGTTTCACATAAGCTACTCCATCATAGTCAGAAGTAGAACCAGGTAACTCAAGCTTTATAGGTAAATTTGATGCCCTGCTCTGGTTGAAAATTACTGTTTAGGTTATTACTTTACTACAAAGCTATAGTGATTAAGACCATGTGGCATAAGAATAAATAAAAATCAATGGAATGGAACTGGGAGTCTAGAAATAAATCCATACATTTCTGATCAATTGATTTTTTACAAGGATGGCAAAACCATTTATTTAAGGGGGAAAAGAATGATCTTGTCAACAAATGATGCTGGGGTAACTGGCTATCTGCATGCAAAAGAATTAGAGTGGACTCCCATCTCACACCACATACAAACATTAACTCAAAATGAATCAAAGATTGAAATTAAAAGGCTAAAACTATAAAATTCTTAGAAGAAAACATTAGTATAAATCTTAATGATCTTGGATTATGTTTAGACATGATATCAAAAGAAGTGACAAAAGAAAATATAAACTGGATTTCACCCAATTTAAAAACGTTTGTGCTTCAAAGGACACCACCAAGAAAGAGAAAAGACCCATAAAATTGCAGAAAAGATTTGCAAACCATCTATCTGATAAAGCTATAGTATCCAGGATATAAGAACACTAACAACTTGACAAATAACCCAATTTTAAAATAAGCAAAGGATACATATCTCTAAATGGCCAGTAAACACATGTAAAGATGTTCAAAGTTATTAGCCATCAGGGAAATGCAAAACAAAACCACGGTGAGATACTTGTGAGACTAGGCTAGAATAAAAAAGACAGACAATGTAACAAGTACTGACAAGGATTTAAAGAAATGTACAATGCTGTTGGGAATGTAAAATGGGGCAGCTGCTTTGGAAAACGTTCCAGCAGCTCCTCAAGTTGAATGTAAAGTTACCACGTGACCCAGCAGTTCCATTCCCAGGTAGGTACCTGAGAGAAATGTAAATGTACGTCCACACAAAAACCTGTACTCAAAAAAATGTACATATGTTCATAGCAGCATTATTCTTAGTGGCCAAAAAAGGGAAACAACCCGAATGTCTATGAACTGATAAATGGCCAAAGAAAATGTGGTATAACCACAGAATATTATTCTAGCACGAAAAGGAATAAAGTACTCATTTATGTTATAATGTAGGTGAACCTTAAAAACAGTATGCTGGGGCGCCTGGGTGGCTCAGTCAGTTGAGCGGCCAACTTCAGCTCAGGTCATGATTTCATGGTTTCGTGGGTTAGAGCCCCACATCATGCTGACAGCTCAGAGCCTGGAGCCTGCTTCGGATTCTGTGTCTCCCTCTCTCTCTGTCCCTCCCCCGCTCTCTCTCTCTCTCTCTCAGAAATAAACATTAAAAATTAAAAAAAAAAAAATCAGTATGCCAAATGAAAGAAGCCAGACACAAAAAGCCACATATTATATGATTCTAGTTATATGATGTTCAAAAATCAACACAGATAGAAAGCAGACTAGTGGTTGTCAGTGGCTGGGGAGAGCGGGGAAATAAGCACTCCAGGGTACAGGGGTTTTTTTTTTGACGTGATGAAAATGTCCCAGAATTAGAGTGTGATGGTTGCACAACTTTGTGGATATACCAAAAACCACTGAATTGAACACCTTAAAAGGATGAGATTTTATGGTATGTGATTTATATCTCAGTAAAAATGTACATTTGATAAATAATGCCATTGATTATAAAGGTGTTCTAATTTTAGAGATATTAAAACATGAAGAAAAAAAGACATTTGTTTCCCCAACGCATTTAGAAATACATTGTTGGCAGGGGTGTCTGCATTTGTGGAGAGTTCTTTGGTAGGTGTTCTCTGTAGACATGGGGGTTTAGGGAAAGATGCTGGTGTTGAAATGGTTTCCCTAATTTCAAGGAGCACGAGAGGAACTTTGGGGACAAAGACCAAGCCCTTGTCTTTATGCGGCAGGGGCAAAATGATGTGGTTAGGCCACAGAAACGACATGGTAGTAAGAATGATACAGGGATTAATGGCCCAAGCATTTAAAGAAACTAGATAGATGAAGCTAAGATTTCTATAAATGAAATCAATGGCCAGTCCATTTGGGTAAACCTGAAAACTCCAAAGGCCTGACTTGAGACAGCACAGAGGGTAGTGGTCCCTCACCCAATTTCCACACCTGATTTAATTCAGAGATCCAGAACCCCTTGAGTGAAGAAAAATTTATCTCCTCTTGAGGAAGGACTTTATATTAACAGCAAAGGTATTTACTGTGTATCTTCTTCAACCCTGTTTTATTTCTTTTCCCTCCTTTATAACTTTGCCCCATTTTCACTTGTTTTTTTTTATATCGCATAAGCTGCTTGAAATCCTTTTTGAAACTATAGACACTACAAATTAAACACTTGAAATCCATTTAGTGATTTTTTTTTTAAATGTGATTTCATTATCTTTATTTTACAGTCACTTCTTTAAACTGGAAGTATTCACTTACCTATGGACTCTTTGAAAGGTGGACTTCCTTTAATTCTTTCAAAGAAATCTTTTAAATTCACCTCATTATTATCTGGAAATATCAAAATCAAGCATATTGTCATTAAAACCCTGATAGTCAGTACACAAAATAAAGGCTCTGATTAACAATACCTAAAATCTCATTCTACCTTATTTTCTCTCTCAAATGGCTGGAACTATTTCAGTGTAATTTTTCATACTTTCAGGAACCACACCCATTGATCAGTTAATGATATTAATAGTTCACTTTTTTTGACTTCTTACTCAAAAGTAAGAACTTAAAATAACTTTTGAGTTCCTTGTGTATACTAAGTATCCTTTTATGATGTTTCACATTTATTAACTAAAATATGTACAAGAATTCTATAACATGCTTGATATGCCTATCCTTAAAAGATGAAAGCAAAGAGAAATTAAATAACTTGTCTAGGTCACAAGAGCCAGAAAGTGCTCGAGGCTGTATTTGAACTAAGGCAGTCTAAGGCCAGAGGTGACAATGTTAACTGTTGGGACACACACACACACACACACACACACACACACAGAGGAAATAAAATGCAGTAATGTAACCACAGCAGAAAATATAGGGCTATACCTACAATGAAAAGACTTTAACTTATAACAAAATGGCAAGCTGGGTAGCACAGGAATGATTACAAATTCCTAAAGATGCTGTATGAAATACTTTATTCTATAAATGCATTATCAAGTTGTATGAAAAGGAAATAATAAAACGTTAAGTGGGCACAGAGATCCAGAGGGGAAAACCAAGTGAATACTAAGCCTACAGCTATTTGGGGATACATATTAGATCCAAAAGCAGCAAGGTGCTTGATTTAAATGTTCATGCATATTCATAAAAGAAAACTTGGGTCCTGCTACGCGGAGAGTTTGAATTTAGATACCAAATGAAACTGGGATGCTTAAAGAATTTCAATCCAGTGAAAGGGAGATTAAAATATTATATTCACTGGCCCATGTAAACACCAAGGTGACCTAAATCTTCCCAATTTTGAGAGGCAGTGGGTAAAAAAGATCACCTGTGAAAAATCTCCTGCATCTCATGTGGGCTTAGGGTCTAAATTTATACCACTCTCGTGATATGAAAAACCCCAGGTCAAAACATAAAAATTGACTGAGGTCAATAATCATCTATGGCAAAAGCAATAACCAAACAATGCTGGGGAGGTACTCTTAAACCTAAGATATGCTCATGGGATTCCCACAGAAAAAACAAGCTGGTTAAGATAAACCCCAAACAAAAAGCCACCTAAAACTGGTAAAACTCACCAGCTTCTAGAAGTATTCCCACGCGATTTGACACTTAAGAGTGGATGTAAATAGGAAAGGAGATCAAGTACACAATACATGAAGTCAAAGATGGAAAACAAAGATAAATATGTGACCACTTGGAAACAATGATCAAGACTAATTATTCTTCTGAGATGTAATGAAACTTTGGGTATTTCCTTTGGTTAAAAAAGCAGAATGGGACAAGCAAAATAAAAGGTGAAAGTGGGTCTCCTCTGAAGAAAGACTGCAGATCAAAATGAAGCTGCTGATGTCATGTCTTTGTTTGATTACATAATGGTATTTTCCCACCCATGCTTACAAGAAATGAATGCTAATTATCTAAATAAGCATATGTAGAGTATGAACAGATAGATATGGTCAGTAAATAAATTAGCAGGCTATTTTGGCTCTAATTTATATCAACCTAAGCCTCATTGCGACTGCCTTTAGCATTTTACCTCCATATAAAACACTCTAAAACTGGTTCCTATAAACAGGGAAAAATGAGCGGAATCTCAAGCCAAAAAAATGCTCACCACTGATGTCACAATATTTAAGGGCTTCACTGACGTCCTCCTCAGCTAAATTAACATTCAAACCTTTCAGGGCATGCTCCAAGTTACGTATGCCAATCTTGCCATTATCAACACTTGTCAAGATATAAGCAGCTTCTTTAAATGCTACAAAGATAAATAAATATATATAAGATACTATTATTTTAAAAAATGCAAAATAGTTTGTCCAGAGTCCACTATAGGTGAACTCTCAATTTAAGTATATATATTTAACTAAAATCTCTGCAGAAAAAAAGCAAAGTATTTTCTACTTGTAACTGACAACCTATTTATTTCAAGCAGCATTTAAAAAAATTAAGGGCGCCTAGGTGGCTCAGTCGGTTAGCCATCCAACTTCAGCTCAGGTCATGATCTCATGGTTCCTGGGTTTAAGCCCCGCATTGGGCTCTGGGCTAAAAACTCAGAGCCTAGAGCCTGCTTCAGATTCTGTGTCTCTCTCTCTGCCCCTCTTCCACTTGTTTCTCTCTCTCTCTCTCTCTCTCTCTCTTAAAACTAAACATTTAAGAAAAGAAAAATTAAACCAAAAAATTATATGCAGAATTTGATGGGTTATCTGAATCCATTCATCCATTAAATACTGAATAAGCTGTGACCCTTTCTTAAATAATAGTAACGTCCTGTATATGTAGATCTAAAGACTTCTATCAACTGATGAAATAAACCAAAAAAAAAAAAAAAAAAAAAGCTAAAATTTGAGATTAAAGCTCTTGATCTCCAGGGCCACTACCAGTCTATATTGTGCTTTTGTGTGAATTGAAAAAAGGCACCCCTCTCTATGTATCAATTACAAAGAGGCATACCTTCCTCTAGGTAGCTGCAATCTAGCATTGGTGGTCCCAGCCTGGGGAGCACAGTGGAATGTAGAATGCATTTCAGTCTCTACTTGTACCCTCTCAACCAGGCATCTTTGTGCAAGCACAACCCATACAACCAAATGTAGTCCTGTTGATACCACACCAATTTAAAATATAAAACGTGATCATTACTGGGAGTTTCAATTTTTTGTCAATACCATTTCTCACCCCATTTCTCTCTCAACCCCAAAATGAAGTTGTCGTGTATGTTTCCATAGTCCGAAAATCGTTGCATTATACTAACAGATCTAAACCTTCAGTTGGAAAGAATACCATAATACCATTTTAGACCTATATTCATTTTTACTAACATTTATTTTATAGCTACTAAAACCAACAATGAAAATTTCAGCCCTCTTAAAGAGTTTCCTTTAAATTCCTTGAAGACAGGGACTTTAGAATTTGTCTTGTCTATAAATAAAATTATAATACATTATATAGTTGGTACTATGAGAAAAATGTGTGTCAGATATGAGCACTGAGCACTCAGATATAAAGCACTGAGACAGTTCACCTAACCTATAACTCTGAAAAGTCTTATGGGTTGAGGAGTGATGTTTGAGCTGAGTTTGGGGGAAAAATGTGAATTTGTTTGACAGAAAATATACAGAAAGGAAACAGCACATGCAAATATATGGAACCAAAAGCACATGGAAGATATGGAACCAATTTAAATTATAATAAGTAATATGGCTACAGAATAAATACAAATGCAGAAGTGATGAGAGATGAGGCTAATGAGATAAGAAGACAGATTTATTGTCATTCTTTAATTCCATAAATATTCACAATTATATAAGTTAATAATATAAAAGATTTGAAACAATGTCTAGCACAGTAAATATCATATAATATTAGCTATTAAATTAGCTATTAATAAGGGGCTTCTGAAAGCCAAAATTGTGCTAGGATCTGGAGAAACAATGCTAGGACTTGTAGCAAAATGGAAACATGGTTCTTGGCCCAATGACGCTTCCAGGCACGTAAGAAAAGAATCATTAACCAAATAATCAAAAATATGACTAGAAAACAACCAGATTTTAACATGGGCAGAAGACCTAAATAGACGTTTTTCTGAAGAAGACATACAGATGGCCAACAGACACACGAAAAGATATTCATCACCAATCTCAGGGAAATGCAAATCAAAATAACAATGAGATATCACCTTACACATGTCAGAATGACTAAAATCAAAAACATAAGAAGTAACAAGTGCTGGCGAGGACGTGGAGGAAAAGTAGCCCTTGTGCAATGTTGGTGGAATGTAAATTGGTACAGCTGACGTGGAAACAGTATGGAGGTTCCTCAAAAAGTAAAAACAGAAATACTATTTGACCCAATGATTCCACTACTGGGTATTTACCCAAAGAGAACAAAAACACTAATTCAAAAAGGTATATGCAACCCTATATGTTTATTGCAGCATTATTTACAATAGCCATGATATGGAAGTATCTCAACTATCTATCAATAGGTGAATGAATAAAGATGTGGTATATTATGGAATTTGACACAACCATAGAAAAGAATGAGATTTTTTTTTGCCATTTGCAACAACATGGATCAACCTAGAGGGTATTATACTAAGTGAAATATGTCAGACTGAGAAAGACAAACACCATATGATTGCACTCATATGTGGAATCTAAAAAACAAATAAAAAAAAAAGAAAAGCAAAATCAGACCTATAAATACAAGAACAAACTGATGGTGGCCAGAGAGAAGGGGGGATAATGGGTAAAATGGGTAAAGGGGAGTAGGAGGTACAGGTTTCCAGGAATGTAATGACTATGTCATGGGAATAAAAGGCACAGGAAAGGGAATATAGTCAGTGATACTGTAATATTGTTGTATGGTGACAAATAGCTATGTTTGTGGTGAGCATAGCAAAATGTATAATCGCTATACCTGAAACGAATATAACATTGTGTGTCCACCGTACTCAAATAAAAAAATTTAATGAGAAATTATATTATTTTGGTCTTAATGAATTAAGATAATTCAAAGTTCTCTAATATTTTTGCTACTTTTTTTCCTAAATAAGCTCTACACCCAACATTGGGCTTGAACTCATGACTCTGAGGTCAAGAGTTGCATGTTCTACCAACTGAACCAGTCAGATGCTCCTACTTTTGTCACTTTATAAGCTAAAATATATTGAGCATTTCTAGTGTCATTTAAAAAAATATTAATGGGTATTTATAGTATGAAGTAAATGCTATGAAAAAGACATAGTTTAATGAAAGCTTATAATAAAAGAAGCTGACCTCGACTAGCAGATAATGACAGGCTCCCTACAGGAAATTGACATTCATTCAATTTTTTTTTTTAATGTCTATTTTTGAGACAGAGAAGGAGACACAGAATCTGAAGCAGGCTCTATGCTCTGAGCTGTCAGCACAAAGCTCAGCACAGGGCTCAAACTCACAGACTACGACATCATGACCTGAGCCAAAGTGAGACACTTAACCAACTGAGTCACCCAGGCACCCCATCACTCATTTGAAAGATGAGTAAACATTAACTAGGCAAAGAGTGTCAGGGAAAACTATTCCAGGGAACAAAATACGCAAAAGCTTTGTAGTTGGATTTCGAAGGAAATGAAAGAAAGCCAATGTACTTGAAAATGCAGAAAGCAAGGGTAATGGTACAAAATTATACCAGAGAGCTAGGACATGCAGGATTTTGATCTTTAACAACAATGGAAAATGTTTAAAGAGTTGAAAATAGGGGGACATCACACAATCAGATTACTTTTTTGAAAAAAAAAATTACTCTGGCTGGAGTGGGACGAATGGACTAGGAATCCATTGGCACCTGGCAATGATCCTAAAAAATAACTCTTTCATAGGGAACGCTTTCTTGTATACATATATAAAGTCCTTACCATCTGCTGTTGGTAGTTTCAGATTTGAAGACAAAGCCTCTTTCCTAAAGTCTGCAAATTTAAATAGAGAGATTATGCCATAAGGAACAGCATCCTGATTTTACCCAGTTTGGAAGAAAACCAATGGATAAATTACATACTTCATTTCTCAATAACATTTAGCATTGACCATTCCCTTCTTCTCAAAATCCTCCACTAGCTTCCAGAATAACGTTCTCTACTCATCTTCCTCTTATTTCTTAGACTCCATGGATTCGTCAAGCTCCACCAAGCTTCTTAAATGTGGCTGAGATTCTGTTACATATGCTTCCTTTATCCCTAAGAGAACAGCTTAATCCCCAGGCTCATATATTCAATAACATGTTTAATTATTAGTCTGAATTGTCCTTCTTTAGTCCTGCCTGCCTACCTATCTATCTAATTCTGGAGCTTTTCCTAAGGACAAGGTGCAGTTATACCCTTCATCCTATACATTTTCTACAAAAATGCAAATTGATACAGAGATCTATTTGAGGGACAAGTGACAGAAACAAAATATGTCCATTTGCATAGATGGACCACATTGCAGTTAGAGAGCAGTTTAGAATAACTCACAACTAGTACAGGTATTACCTTGAAGCAAAAGGGGGTTAGAATCAAGATACATTATATTTACATTAATTTTTAAAATGTGATCTAAGCAGGATTAAAAAAATATAACTAACCTATTAAAAAGTACTTTCAAAATAGTAGGTTTGGCAATTTTACAAGATAACTCTAAAACAGAATTTCTCAACCTGAGCAAAATTACATTTGGGGCTAGCTAATTATGTGGGGGAGTCCTGTCCTATACATCATAGGGTGGTTAGTAGCATCCCTCACCTCTACTCACCAGATCCCAGCATTCCTCCCCCATCTGTTTTGACAATCTAAACTGTCTTTGCATATTGCCAGTTTTTCCCTGAGACACAGATCTGATCTCATTTTTTAGCTGAAGTTAAATTTAAAGGCAGGAGATGGCTTTCCAAGTATTGATAAAATCCATCTGGGTATATCCCAGATAAGCATATGGATGGATCAGGTAAATTCTTTGTAAATAGAGCAAATAGCCAGATCAACACTTACACAGAATGTTATATAGACCAACGGTTTAATTGTTCAACAATAACTTGTATTTTTCAAAGAGCCTTTCACCTAAAAGAAAAAGAAAGCTAGACAACTATTAGGACCTCTCTAAGATTCATAAAAGGAAAGGGATTAACTTTGAAATGAAATTACTCTAGAAAGAAACATTTTAAAGCCATATGACAATGTATATAAATACTTTCAGACCAAGTTTACAATGCAGTCCAAGAGATCATCCAGGAATTTGATATCGTAATAACTAAATCTCTGTGAATATAGAATATAAGATATATCTCTAAATCTGATCTGTAGTAAATTGCATTTCAATACATTTACGGTAGTATTTAGGAACTAAGTATTAAGATTTAATTAATTATTTGGTAAAATATTCTAAAACCTTGGATAAAATTTTAGAAGAAATTTTTATTACAAGTTGCTGGTTATCTGCTCAATCAACTCACCGTCGAGCAAGGAATCATCCAGCACTTCTTGAAAACTATTATCAGTGAAATAAATTCTATTGGTGTTTCCAAGTACATCTGCATAGTTGTCCTTGCCAGACTGATCACTTTCCTCCATACATTCCAATGTACCGATGATGCCATTCAATGCTACAAACACAGAGAATATACATGCAACATGTAATTCAGTCCACGGATCTAAATTTTTGGAACATAACAGTAAAACTGATGGATTCTTCCAGTTTTGCACTGTCCAAAATGGCAGCCACTACCCACATGTGGCCATTTAAAAAGGTAGAGCAATCCCTTCTCCACTATAGTTTTCTATAGTCCCTTATCTTTATTCTTAAGATTATTTTGTTAAAACTCCGGGTTCTGCGTGGGCTATTCCTTTATGAACAAAAAAGTATGCCAAAGTTTCTCTAGTCATTCTATTAACGAGCTCACCATTTCATAAAAAATACCCTCCATTCATCACAACTGCTCCCAAACTCCAATCCTTCCCTTTCTACTTTCTTTCCCTACACCCCTTGCTCCTGTCAGCTCACTTTACCCAATTTAGAGAATCAGCAAAGCCTATTATGTTTAGCATGATAATATCAAACATCTGAACTAGGAAATCCATGACTGACCACCCCCCCCCTTAAAACAAACAAACAAACAAAAACCTCTTCACATTTCTAAAGTACATGTCTAAAAAAATAATCTTTCAGAATTCATTAAGAGAAATATATAATAAATTCCTTTAAAATTAGCTAATTTATGTGAAAGTATAATTTAATATATTATGTTGTTCCATGAGTTAGTCATTAGTCATTGGTAAGAAGTTTCAAAAATAGGCCATGTGAGGAATGGTTGAAGGGAAATCTGAGTCCAGAGAAAAGACGATTCAACGTAAAAGAAAGAAAATAGAAGAGCTCTCCTCCCATCCCTGGAGGGCTACTGACAGGGGGAAGAGTCCAAATGTTAAGTTTGGGAATGGAATTATAAGGCAGGATTTCCATCAAATATGTGGAACAATTGACTAGTTCTACAGCTGTCCAAAAATTATGGAATGGACTGCTTCAAAAAGTCATAAGGATTTCCAAGACAAACAGTAGGATGAGTGTACATTACGATTAACCTGTCCCTGAAACCCACTAATGTGGTTTTTAAAAAAATTTTTTTTTAATGTTTATTTCTGAGACAGAGAGAGACACAGCACGAGTGGGGGAGAGGCAGAGAGAGAGGGAGTCCCAGAATCTGAAGCAGGCTCCAGGCTCTGAGCTGTCAGCACAGAGCCCGACGCAGGGCTCGAACTCACAGACCACGAGATCATGACCTGAGCCAAAGTTGGACGCTCAACTGACTGAGCCACCCAGGCGCCCCTAATGTGGTTTTTAAATAAACATGTAAAAATCGAAAAAACTCCATATCTAATTAACACAGAAACTATCAAATCCTCTACTATAGACCTTATTCTCTGCCCACAGTAAACTAAAAATAAACAACAAAGAGAGGACAATAATGAAATTCAAATTCAAATTTAAAATTTTTAAATTCACTTAAAATTTTTCAAATAATTGCTTTAAAATTTAAGGTTTTTCTCTTAAGCAACTCTTACATCAAGGAGAAAATCAAAATACAACTGAATATACTTAGAAAAAAACAAGAATAAAGACTTTGATAAACCAAAGTCTTACTGAAAATTGATAGTCTTAAACATTTATTTCTCAGTAAGAAGAAAAAAGTAAGTTCATAATTTAAACAACTTAGAAAAACTATAAAATGGACAAAAGGGGACAATAGAAAGGACATCCTAAAGATAAAAGCAGAATTTTTTTTACTACAAATAGAAACACTAAAGATAAATCTAAGATGTAGAGCTTTAAAAACAGAGATAATTAAAAGATCTGCTAGGAAATCTAGAAAAAGATATATAAATACACACACACACACACACACACAAATACACACACACACACACACACACAAATATATATACAAATTTAAGAATGAGAAAATAACCAGATACAAAAAAATCAAAAGAATTATCACTGCATAGGATTGTACTAATATTCCCAAAAAACACTTGAATAAAATAAATTTCCTAGGAGAATAAAAATTACCAAAACTGACAAAATAAAACAGAGGATGGCAATAAGCAGTCCACCAAAATCAAAGTCAAAGATGAATAATAAACTAGAAAAAAAATGGCAATAGACAAGACAGAACATTAATGTCCCTTATATATAAAGAGCTATTTATAAATTCATATGAAAATGACAATCTAATTAAAATAAAAGCAAAGCATATTCGACAATCATATGAAAAATTTTTTACCTCACTAGTCATTAAAGACATGCATATTAAAAAAATAATAGAATTCTTTTTTTTTTTTAATTTATTTTTTTTTTTAATTTTTTTTTTCAATGTTTATTTTTGGGACAGAGAGAGACAGAGCATGAACGGGGGAGGGGCAGAGAGAGAGGGAGACACAGAATCGGAATCAGGCTCCAGGCTCTGAGCCATCAGCCCAGAGCCCGACGCGGGGCTCGAACTCACGGACCGCGAGATCGTGACCTGGCTGAAGTCGGACACTTAACCGACTGCGCCACCCAGGCGCCCCAATAGAATTCTTTTACCAGCAGAATTTTCAATAAATAATATCCATTACTGATAAAAGTGTGAATTTTTACAAACTTTTTGGAGGATAATTAAGCAGTAGCTGTTAACATCTCACATCTGCATATATTTCAGTCTAGCAGTGTGACTTCTGAGGATTTTATCCCCCAGGAGAACTTTATGCACATATATGCATACAACAATGCTCATCAAAATATTTCAGTGGTGAAAAATTGGCAAATTTTCAGATTTTTAATTGGCAAATATCAAAAGCATTGTGGATAAAATGACAGTACATCCCCCAAATGGAATATTATGCAGTCTTTAAAAAGAATGAGGTTGTTTATGATACAATGGAACATGGAACAATATCTAAGATACATTGTTAATTTCTTTAAAACTGCAAGTCGTGGAATATTATGGACATGGTAATTTTATTTTAATTAATTAATTATTAATTAATTATTAGTTAATTAGTAATTAATTAAGTATTAATTAATTAATAATTAATTAATTTAGAGAACAAGCAGGGGCAGAGAGAGAAGGAAACAGAGGATCTGAAATGGGCTCTGTGCTGACAGCAGAGAGCCCAATGTAGGGCTTGAACTCACAAACCAGGAGATCATAACCTGAGCCAAAATCAGACACTTAACCAACTGAGTCACCCAAGTGCGCCTAATTTTTAAATAATATCAGAATACACAAATATTCATAGATTCAAATAAAAAAGGCTAAAGGGATATTTACCACACTTTAACAGGGATATTTCCAGAAGGTGACATTACATGAGCCTTGCACTTTATATCTCTTACATTCCTGGTCACTAAATTTTTTTATAACAGTTTCAAAATTGCCATTATTATATAATAAAATGTCCTTACTTTAGCTATTGGAAAACATCATAACCTTGTGATTTTCCCAATCTTTTCCATTCAAATACAAATTCTTAAAAGAAAAACAAATGTAATCAAGTTTGCCATAACTGGAAGAGTTCAAATGTAGATGAAACAAACATTTGGCACAGATACTACAAAGAAGATCTGAGCACCAAATATAATGTTTGGCTACATGACCTCTGAATGAGTCCTGTGTTGTTTGCCATTCAACAGTTTTACCATAAAGTTCTTACCAACAAAAGTGGAAAATTTCTGAGTGTCCTTCAAAGCCTTCATACAGTCTTTAACATTCACCATGTTGTCATCTGTAAGAAAGAGAGAGAGGGGGAACAGACAAGAATCCCTGGAAAACGTAATATTAAAAAGCTCATATGAAAATCAAAACCAGCATACAATTTCTTTACTTTACATACAAGATACTTGGGATTCATTTTCACCCACTGTGCCTTGCAATTAACCTTACAAGGTTGTAGATATACTAATTCTGATTCTACCTGTAAGGCAACTAACCTACTAAGAAAGTTGTAAGTCCAATTAACTTTACTTGGTACAAACCAACAAAGCTAGGTTTTCTATTCACAGAGCTGGAATTTCCAAACTATGTGTTAGTCACTAAATCAAGATCTATCTAAAGAGAGTGGATACCAACGAGCCCACTCCCCCACAAAATTTCTACCTGCTTGCTAAGAGTATTCTCATTAACTGTAAAAAAGGACGGTAAAAGAAAGTCTCCTCTTTAAGGACATTTACAGCAATACAAGCAAATACCTATAGATATTAGCTCAAAGGAGCCCCATTCGCTTGAACAAAAACCTTGCACACTTTCTTCAGTTACTCCTACCCAAAACAAAAAAAATGGATATGAATATTTAAATGCTTACCAGAAACAAGATCTGACTGAAGAATTTTCTTTACCTCTTCTTCAGGTGACTTAATCCCAATATTTCCTAGGAAGCTCTCCAAGTTCTTCCCAGATATCATGTCACCTTCAAGCCCATCAAGAGCTAAGACAATGTCTTGTAACTCTAGAAACAGAAAAAAGTGATTCGGTAATTGAACTAACCTCTGACTTAAAAACAACAGTAGCCATCACTAAAGACTTTTGTCAGTGGTAGTCCATGATTTATGATCACCTCTTGAATAAGAAATCTCAGTGAAGAATCCAGCCCTCAGGAAATTCTAAGTCCAGCAAAACAATATGCATGGTCTGCCATGTTTCTTTGGTGCTAATATAAAATTGGCACAACCAAAATGGTTGCTATGGCTGAATTTTTCACTGCAATGACACAAAGTAGTTATTTTAAACTAGAGCTCTAATGGTAGCAAACGAAATTAACTCATCCTGGTGGAAGTGAAATAGATTTCAGAATCATGAGGAATGTAAAATAGTAAACACAAGTATCACAAAGACTCACTCACCTTTTCTTTTCAATTCTACCAAGATCCAGTTGTAGTCTGGCATCTGGAATTTTGCTTTATTTCCAGCCCTTTCAAAGGAGGCAGTGTTAAGTACATTCAAATCCTGGCTCCAGGATTTGTGACCTGAAACTATCTGACCTTGAGCAAATTATTACTATTTAAACACTCTATCAAATTCAGTAGTCTTATATCTAAAATAATTTAATAATACTATCTACCTCACACAGTTAATATGGAGATTAAATATATGACGTATGAAAAACACTTAAAACAACATTAGGTATATAGAAACACTAAGTGTCATATTAATAGCAATAAAGTTACTATTATTATTATTATTATTATTATTATTAAGCCATCAGGAATAGCTGCAAACAGTAATCACAGCTTCCTAGTACCTTCGATCCCACTTCACTTTCTGTCCCCCTAACATCTCAGCAAGGCAACTGCAAATGGCAGTCACCTAAAAACCTGTATCAGCTCTGCTTGTTTTACCTAAAGCTTGGTTTCCTTTAAAATATGGTTTCTTTGCACAGACACCTTAAGAGGAGTCTGCTCATCCTCCCATGCTCCACACAGGACCAGGAAGCAGAGAAACACTCCTAAGATTCTGCTGTCTGGCTATTTTAGTTCCACCTTCAATCAAACCTATCCCTCCCCTGAGATTCAGACCTGTCATTGACCTACACTACCCTCCGGACACCATCATCTATTGACTTTCTGATCACTCTTTCACCTTCTTGGAGGATCTTTGTCACCCTGCTCATAATCCTCCCTCAGCCCCATTTCCCATTATCATCTGATGACAATAAAAATGACCTTGACCTCTCAACTCCAAAAACTTTCACTTCCTTTCCAAAGTCATCCAAATCAATGGCTATCCTTAATCCTCGTCAACACCTAGAACTGCCTACCCAACCTCTAAAATCTTCAACTACAAGATCAGACACTGACCATAATCCCTTAAAACTGTGTGTATAGGAAAGCATAGAACTTGATCCACAATATGCCTATTTTCTCAGCCCCTCTAAGTTTGTCAACAAACAGTCCAGGCACAGTGAACTAACCTTATCAGTCAGTAATGAAGGGAACATTCTGCGCATATGACAGTCAACCTTGCAAGCAGACTTTTCTAAAGAGAGCAGTTTCAGGCCTGCTATGTTAACACTTTTCTTCCAGGGTGGCCCTTCCTAACTCTTCCCTGTAATTATTGGTCTTTTCTTGCACTGGCTGACAGATTCCAGTGTCAACCCCCAATCATTATGACCAGCTCCCAGATTCAGGTACCTAAACTACACCTTTCTCCTTTTTCACTGTTCTCCTTTCTCAATGGTTTAGTTTCCATTTTTTTTTCCTTCATCCACATAAAAAGTTACCTGTCCTGAATACCAGTCTTTCTGAACTCTGTTTTCTGATTTCAAAATTAACTACCATTTACCAAGTATATAGTATGTGCCTAATAATTAGATTATGTGCTTTATATGTGTTTTTGCAGTTGATCCTGACAACTCTAGGAGAAACGTGATTTTATTAGCTTCCTTGTTTTAAAGATGAGGAAACCAGAATGACCTATAGAGACTACCCAGCTGGTAAGTCAAAAACCCACAAACCACCATGTATCAAACTCCATAGCCCATGTTCTTTTCTACCTGTATGCATTGTTTCCTATAGCACAGCTAATCTATTTCACTATAATATATTGATGCTAACTATGTTATGTGACCCAGGTAACATATTTATATGTCAACAGGGAATTATTAAGTACTTTTCTTAACCTAAAAGAGAAGCAATGATGTTAAAATTTTTATACGAGGGCAGAGTGGTTATTAAAAATCTGAAAAGTATCTATCTACTTCTTTACACCCAGAAATGACTCCGCTTCTGTTTTCCTAAACATATACCTATGTTGTTATTCTTCTCCTGACAGCACTCATTGACCAGTCATTTGAATGTCATTCAAATAAATTACCAGTGATAATTAAGTTTTAAACTTATTTTCCCAATAGAAAAGTACACAAACTCCATGAGTATGATCTCCATTGGTTTTAGGTCTATGATTTTAACTTTTAAGCAAAAATGGAAGTCAAGTGGTAGGAAATACCCATGGTACCAAAATGCACATGGTCACTCTTGTATGTTAACAAAATCCAAAGAAAGAAACATGAGGAATGTCTACTAAAGGAGGAGGTAGAAGATTTCTGAGAAATTCTATAATATATAAGCCTTTACACAGGGTAGAGTCCTAAGTCTGAGGCTAAAAATGGTATAGAAAATTTTCATATCTGAAAAATTGTAAAGCTAGCATCTGACTTTACATAAAGTCCAGAACAAAACACACACACATACACACACACACACACACACACACACACACACACACACACACACACATAACAACAACAAAAAAAGGGATTTAAAATAGGTTTACACAGGCCCCATTCCAGAAAAAGGCTTTTTTCTTTCATCATGGATGCTGCCAACTTTTAATCAAAATCAAGTTTTGCCTGCCTTAAAACAGATCAATGCCAGCATGGTAAGCAGAAATTAACAGAACCAGAAATTCTAAAAAACAAAACACTAAGACATCCATTCAATAAAAGTAAATGTAACAGTCACAAATAATTTACTAGTTACCTTTTAACCTGGAGGCATCACGAATATCCTTTACCACTTGTCCAAATTCTTCTATTTGTACTTCATCATCTTCTGCAAGAAAAACATTTTTTTAAGTTTATTTATTTATTTGGGGGGGGGAGGGGAAGAGAGAGAGGGAGAGAGAGAATTCCAAGCAGGTTCCATCCTGTCAGCACAGAGCCAGACAAGGGGCTTGAGTCCACGACTGTGAGATCATGACCTGAGCTGAAATCAAGAGTTGGACACTTAACTGATTGAGCCATTCAGGCACACCCCCCCCCCTCGCCCCGACCTTTTTCCTTTTTTAACATACACCATGGTCAAAAAGAGGATCCTAGGTCAGGAATGCTTACGTTCTTTCTCACGTTTCTAAAGCTCTGTTGAAATACTTAAGCAGTTCACTTGGTCATTTCCCCCACTTTATTCAGAGAAACTCAACTTTTATGATTTATATATTGAGGGACTCTGTAAGATTTCATTTAGGAGAAAAGGATTCTACTGCTTTACCAGCACCAAATATAAATACAAAACCAAGAATAACAAGGTTCAAAACTTTGCAAACCACTGCATTAAAATAAGAATTAAATCACGTTGTACTGAAGGTCCAATAAAAGGTCTCAGTAAAAGAGAGGGAAAAAAATCGCTATTATCAGGTAGTATCATATTTTCATCAACCCTCTTCATCTCAAATATGTTAATAAACAAAACAACCAACACACTTAAAGTTCAAAATTACCAGTCTCACTTAAACAGGAGCTTAATGAAAAAAAAGGAGTAGGTAATCCTCACAGGGAAAGACAGTTCTTTGACAAAGACCATAGACAGCATGCTCTTGTTACCAGCCTAGTTTTGCATAAACATTTCACATAAAAGAGTATAATAGTACATTTGTAACTTCAAGGTATGAAAAATATGAAGGAGTGGAAATGTTCACCTGTGGTTGTGTACTACCTGTCTCCTACATGCAGAACATCAGCAGCAAATGATAGTCTTATTTGAAAAACTGTAGAGGTGCCTGGGTGGCTCAGTTGGTTAAGCGTCCGACTTCGGCTCAGGTCATGATCTCATGGTTCATGAGTTTGAGGCCCGCAACGGGCTCTGTGCTGACAGCCCAGACCCTGGAACCTGCTTCTGATTCTGTGTCTCCCTCTCTCTCTGCCCCTCCCCCCGCTCCTGCTCTGTCTCTCTCTCTCTCTTTCAGAAATAAATGCTAAAAAAATTTTTTTAAAGAAAAATTATAGTCCACAGTCTTTGTTTTACTTTGTAAACTCATTTTTGTTTTGTTTGAATCTTTTTTTACTTGCTAACTTAGTAGTGGTGGTGGCCACCACGAAGTCTATTTTACAGTATGGATATCTGAAGTTATGTTAATAAAAAAACGGGAATAGATCTCTTAACATTTCCTAACAGTCCCCTCTGTGTTCACGGGGATATGCCATTTTCCAGTTGCATGTTACACAACTTGAAGGTAATCAATGCATATTTGATCAATTTAGAGTAACAATAAATTAGATATTAACATTTTTTCTGTTGGACAACCAAACAATCTGAGGTTTCTTTATATGTTCTAAGTGTATATATTGGCATATCAACCAAGTACAAGATACAAGGGGAAAAAAAGATTGACAAAAGGCAGACCGACAGTCTTATGTATCTTTTAATTGTAATATTTGGAATACTTACCATCCGCTGTTGTTAATTTCAGTGCAGCTAGGAATTCATTTTTTTCAAGTTACTATTCAAGTTAGACAGAGTGGTCCACAGGTGAGAAATATTCATCTTCCCTTTGCTGAGATTATGGAGGTTTTCAATAGCATCAGGCAATACTGAAAGGTAGATCACACACAAGTTTTACAACACCCTTGTCCAAGAAGTTAGTACAGTTAAACTATTACCTGGAACAGTCAGGAATTAAGGTTTTTATGGCTAAGAAGAATAACAAATATGTTATAAATGATTGCCAATTTTCAAATATTAAAACACAATAAAATATTTAACACCACAATTAGTGTTTCTTTGAGGATTCTGAAATATTTCAAGAACTTATAGTGACCCTCTGCTGAATAACCAATATAAAGAGTCATTTTCATTGACTTATAGATTTACAGAAGTCTGAGTTCATAAACAACTCCAACTGATTAAACCATGAATTAAACCATGAAACCAAAATAGCTTTTGCTCTACATCTCCCCCGAACATTGTTCCCTGGATCTTACTTTCTCTTCAGTCTACTACTGCAGCCCATGGAAAGAAATTTTGTGGGGTTTTTTTGTTTTGTTTTTGTTTTGTTTTTAATTCCAATGGAAAACCTTCGGAAGGTTTAAGGGGCAGGGAGTGAAATTATCTCATTACCAATGTGTAAAAAGATCACTCTACTACTGTATAGAGAATAGACTCTCTGGAAAATCAAGCAGTTAGGAAGCTAGTTCAGAGAAAAAGATGACAGTGGCTTCAGCAAGGGTAACAGTGATAAGAACGGAAGTGGACAAACATAGGATGTGTTTGGAGAATAAAACTGAAAGTATTTAAAAAAATTTTTTTTAAGTTTGTTTAAGATTTTATTTTTAAGCAATCTCTACACCTGATTGTGGGGCTCAAACTTACAACCCAGAGATTAAAAGTCACTCGCTTTATCAACTGCACCAGCCAGGTGCCCCAAGACTGAGAGTATTTAGTGATGAATTGAATGAGAAGCTGGGGCCATGAAGAACTCCTAGGTTTAGAACTTAGAAGCTGAGTGGACAGTGGTGTCGAAAACTGAGGTAAGAGAGCCTAGGGAAAGAATAAGATCGTTGGACAGCAAGAATTCTTTTTTATACATATTAAGTATGAGATACATGGGGAGTCAAAAGAACAGCAATATTATTTAAAGCAATAAGATGATTCAGGAAGAGGCTTAGAGAATGGGACTCAGAATGGATCCTGGGATCATGCTAATATGAAAGCCAGTCAGAAAAGAAGGAGCCAGCAAACAAGACCAAAAAAGAGCTAGGTCTACAATGGAATATTATTCAGTTATGAGAAAGAAGGAAATCCTGACATTAGGGACAAAAGAGTGACAAGCACTATGCTTGGTCAGATAAATCAGAGAAAGACAAATACTATAAGGTCTCACAGCTGAGAAAGCAGAACTCAGAAACAGAGTAGAATGGTGGTTACCAGGAAATTGGGAAGAGGCTGGTCAAGGGCACTAATTTACAATTAGAAGATGAATAAGTTCTGGGCATCTAAGGCACAGCATTGTGATTATAGTTAGCAATACTATATTATATACTTGAATGTTGCTAAGAGAATAAATCTTGGTGTTCTCACCACAAAAACAGAAATGATCATTATGTGATGTGATGATGCTGTTAGTTAACACTATGGTGGTCATCGTATTGCGATATATAAGTGTATCAAATCAACACTTTGTACACCTTAAATTCACACAATGTTATATGCCAATTATATCTCAATTTTAAAGAAAAAAAAGGAAGAGCCAATAAGGTGGGAAAAAAATGAGATGACGGTGTCACAGAAAACATAAGGAGAAGAATTTTGAAGAATAAACATATTAAATTAAAAATAATGGTTGAATCATTATTCAACCTGCACACCTGAAACTAATGTAATACTGTATGTTAATTATACTTGAGTTAAAAAAAAACTACTAACGGTAAACAAGATGAAAATAGAAAATTGGCAAATGGAGTTAACAAAGTGAGATTTAACTTTTGTAAAAAGCTAAGGTGGAATGTCAAGGGTTTTTTTAAGTTTATTTTATTTCTATTTTGAGAGAGACAGAGAGAATGAGAGCAGGGAAGGGACAGAGAGACAGTGGGAGAGAGAGAATCCCAAGCAGGCTCCATGCTGTCAGTCAGCACAGAGCCCAACATAGGGCTTGAACCCACGAAACTGTGAGACCATGACCTGAGCCAAAATCGAGAGTTGGATGCTCAACCAACGGAGCCACCAAGTCACCCCATGAATGAGTGTTTTTATTTTTGAATGTTTATTTTTGAGAGAAAGAGAGACAGAGCATGAGCTGGAGAGGGGCAGAGAGAGAGGGAGACACAGAATCTGAAGCAGGTTCCAGGCTCTGAGCTGTCAGCACAGAGCCTGACACAGGGCTCAAACAGCTCAAACAGCACAGAGCCTGACACAGGGCTCATGAACAGCATGATCATGACCTGAGGCAAAGTCGAACGCTTAGCCGACTGAGCCACCCAGGTGCCCCCTATAAGGAGAGAACTGGCAATATAGAATGACGATAGCCAGATTCCCCTTCAATTTCCAATGCAAAACACACTCTATACTGAGTTAAAATATCAATAAAAATAATATTTGGTGATGAATTGAATCAGAGAAGTGGAAGTGGTGGAGCTAGGGCCATAAGGGAAAAAAAAGACCAAGAATGAGTCCTAACTTTTCAGCCTAAACAACTGAATGCTAAGCTCAATAGAAAGGGAAATCACCAGATGCCAGAAGTGAGGAAGAATTATTGTGTGTGTGCCTGAGCTGACGCCATGGCAGTCAGATGGTATAACGCATAAGTAGAGAACATAAGCTCTGAGTTGCTTTTTTTTTTTTTAATTAATTCATTTATTTTGAGTGAGAGAGAGAGAGAGAGCATGCGGAAGGGGCAGAGAGAGGGAATCCCAAGCAGGCTTCTCACCGTTGCATGGAGCCTGATGCAGGGCTTGAGCTCACAAACTGTGAAATCAGGACCTGAGCCGAGATCAACAGTCAGATGCTTAACTGACTGAGCCACCCAGGCGCCCCATGAGTTGCCTTTTTTTTTTTTTTTTGAGAGACAGAGTGTGTGCATATGGGAGAGGGGCAGAGAGAGAGAGAGAGAGAGACAGAATGCTTTTTTTTTTTTTTAATATAACTTATTGTCAAGTTAGCTAACATACAGTGTGCTCTTGGCTTTAAGAGTAGATTCCCATGATTCATCGCTTACATACAACACCCAGTACTCATCCCAACAAGTACCCTCCTCAATGCCCATCACCCATTTTCCCCTCCCCCACAGTCTCCCCATCAATCCTCAGTCTGTTCTCTGTATTCAGAAGTCTCTTATGGTTTGCCTTCCTCCCTCTTTGTTTGAAACTATTTTTTCCTCTTCCCTTCCCTCATGGTCTTCGGTTAAGTTTCTCAAATTCTACATGAGTGAAAACATGATATCTCTCTTGCTCTGACTTATTTCACTTAACATAATACCCTCCAGTTCCATCCATGTTGTTGCAAATGGCAAGATTTCATTCTTTCTCATTGCCGGTAGTATTCTGGTGTGTGTGTGTGTGTGTGTGTGTGTGTGTGTGTGTGTATGTATCACATCTTTTTTATCTATTCATCAGTGGATGGACATTGGCTCTTTCCATAATGTGGCTATTGTTGATAGTGCTATTATAAACATTGGGGTACATGTGCCCCTATGAATCAGCACTCCTGTATTCTTTGGATAAATTCCTAGTAGTGCTATTGCTGGGTTGTAGGGTAATTCTATTTTTAATTTCTTGAGGAACCTCTACACTGTTTTCCAGAGAGGCTGCACCAGTTTGCACTCCCACCAAAAGTGCAAGAGGGCTCCCATTTCTCCACATCCTCACCAACATCTGTTGTTTCCTGAGTTGTTAATTTTAGCCACTCTGACCTGTGTGAGGTGGTATCTCAGTGTGGTTTTGATTTGTATTTCCCTAATGATGAGCGATGTTGAGCATCTTTTCATGTGTCTGCTGGTCATCTGGATGTCTTTGGAAAAGTGTCTGCTCATGCCATCTGTCCGTTTCTTCACTGGTTTGTTTGTCGGGTGTTGAGCTTGGTAAGTTCTTTATAGATTTTGGATACTAACCCTTTATCTGATATGTCATTTGTAAATATCTTCTTCCATTCGATCAGTTGCCTTTTAGTTTTGTTGATTGTTTCCTTTGCTGTGCAGAAACTTTTTATCTTGATGAGGTCCCAATAGTTCATTTTTGTTTTTATCTCCCTTGCCTTAGAGACGTATCAAGTAAGAAGTTGCTGTGGCTGAGGTCAAAGAGGTTGTTGACTGTTTTCCCCTCTAGGGTTTTGATGGTTTCCTGTCTCACATTTAGGCCCTTCGTCCACTTTGAGTTTATTTTTGTGTATGGTGTGAGAGAGTGGTCCAGTTTCCTTCTTCTGCATGTTACTGTACAGTTCTTCCAGCACCATTTGCTAAAGAGACTTTCTTTTTTTCCTTGGATACTCTTCCCTGCTTCATCAAAGATTAGTTGACCATACATTTGTGGGTCCAGTTCTGGGTTCTGTATTCTATTCCACTGGTCTATGTGCCTATTTTTGTGCCAATACCATACTGTCTTGATGATTACAGCTTTGTAGTAGAGGCTGAAGTCTGGGATTGTGATGCTTCCTACTTTGGTTTTCCTGTTCAACATTACTTTGGCTATTCGGGGTCTTGCTCTGAGAAGAATGCTGGTGCAATTTTGAGTGGGACTACACTGAATGTGTAGATTGCTTTGGGTACTATCCACATTTTAACAATATTTTTTCTTCCAATCCATGAGCCTGGAATGCCTTTCCATTTCTTTGTGTCTTCTTCAATTTCTTTCATAAGTTTTCTACAGTTTTCAGCATACAGATCTTTTACCTCTTTGGTTAAACTTATTCCTAGGTATTTTATGGTTCTTGATACAATTGTAAATGGGATCGATTCTTTGATTTCTCTTACTATTGCTTCATTCTTGCTGTACAGAAATGCAACCAATTTCTGTACATTGGTTTTATATCCTGCAACTTTGCTGAATTCATGTATCAGTTCTAGAAGTTTTTTGGTGGAGTCTTTTGAGTTTTCCATG